AGTTGTGACAATCAAATGAGATACTGTACATAAAGCACATATCACGGTGCTTGTCACATGGTGAGACTTCAGACTATGTTTTAGTCTTCATTGTACTATTCAAATCAATTAATACTGTGTGACCATCCTTTTTCAGGTGAGGTTTTAGGATTATTAGGACACAATGGAGCTGGAAAGAGTACATCCATCAAGATAGTAACTGGAGACACAAAACCGACAGCAGGACAGGTAGGTGAATTACGCGGAAAATATATCACCCAGTAGTGCTTAAAATAAATTCATGTGACGTTACAATCACACAAGGAACAAAATGTCATTCAGTGATTGAAATGATTAATGAAATATACAGAGGAATAAATTCACAAATTATCACAATAATACACACAAAAATTAATCACTGAAAGGGAATAAGTTCTTAGGTGCCTTATGTCCTTCAAGAGCATTGAGAGGAATGTGACATATCCAGTATCAGATTAGAAATCATTATCAGAATCCATAAAAATCCTATTTATACTGCTGTTAAACACATGGAAAAGCAAAGATGTCACTTTGAGACTAAGGTGCGCCTGACCCAAGTCATGATATTTTCAATCACCTCATATGCATGCGAAAGCTGGACAATGAATAAGGAAGCCTGAAAAAGAACTGATGCCTTTAAATTATGGTGTTGGTCAAAAATATTGACTACACCACGGAATGGCAGAAGAACAAACAAGTCGCTCTTGGAAGAAGTCCAGCGAGAATGCTCCTTAGAAGAGAAGTTCATATCCAGGGATAGATTACCCAGTAAAGCAAGGTACACACGAGTTTAAGTGTGCTTACTTACTAATCTGTAAGTGAGTAATCCTCAGGAGGGAGGATGGCGAGACGTTGTCTCACTTACTTTGGACATGTTATCAGGAGGGACAAGTCCCTAAAGAAGGACATCATGCTTGGTAAGGTAGAAGGTCAGCAAAAAAGAGGAAGACCCTCAACAAGATGGACTGACACCTGGCTGCAACAATGGCCTTAAGCCTAACAACGATTGTGAGGATGATACAGGACTGGGCAGTGTTTGTTTTGTTGAACAGAGGGTTGCTATGAGTCGGAACTGACTCAACGGCACCTAACAACAACAACAAAACATAGAACCGTGATTGCTACGGAAGGACATCATGTTTAGTAAAGATCCAACGAAAAACAGGAAAACCCTCAATGAAACAGATTGACACAATACTCGCAACAATGAACTCAAACATATCAATGACCATGAAGATAGTGTAGGACTAGGCAACATTTTGTTGTGTTAGACATAAGGTTGCCAAGAGTCAGAGCTGACTTGACAGCAACTAACAACATAACAAAACACATGCATTTTTTACTTTGAACGAGCATTGGCTTCCCAGTAGGTAACATTTTAATTTTGAGTAGAACTGTCAAAAAAAAATAAAAAATAAAAGAAACCCTTTAGTATATACAATTACATTAGTTGGCCTTGATAAAATGCTTAGCTTTGAAACCATACATTTTTGCAGACCTCTACTATTTCCTGGGAGGGTCTTCACACTACAAGGACGCGAAGTTGACCTTTATTGTACATTCAGTTTAATTGTATGAGGGGATGGCAATGAGGCCAGATAAACAGGAGAAGAGCTCAGGTTTATCGAAGGGAGGGACATTGTAGCATGAAGAGAAAAAAAAATTTTTTTCCAAATTTTAAGCCAGAGAGTAGAACATCTCATGAACTTCTTCATAATGTCCAGGGGGAGTAGAGAAGAGAGTGTGGAACTGCAGGTTGGGAAAGGAGGCAAGGAGAGATGATCAGCCCAAGGATGGAAAAGACAGCCAGGAACATCACGACTAGTGAGGGAGGAGAAAACATAAATTCACAGTCCTGCTGAAGGTATGGGCAGAATGGACATTCATGAAGGCAGGTTGTTCAATAAAAACAGCTCAGCAAGACCCTTACTGGACTTTCTATTTCAGATGTGGCCACCCTCAAATTCAATCACCACATTTGTTTTGTTTTTGTTTGTTTTATTACGACTCATTTTTCCTCTCAAAACGCATGGAAGAAAAGATGTAATTATGCTTTTGTAAACTGGAATAATATAATTTTTTAATATAAGCAAGACCTAATTATTAAGCCAACTCTTTGGGGGTCATGAAATCAGCTTTAGTCAGATCAACCAGGGTGATCTTTTTAAACCATGCCATTCTCCTGCTGAAATATTTTCCAGAACCTCTCAGCACACTATGATGGAAGGGAACCTCCTCCCCTCATCCTGCAGGCTGCTGCAGGGGCTGAGCTCTGCATCTCTCCAGCCACATCTCTCTCCTTCTCCTCTTGCTCACTGTGCTCCAG